CACGATCTACTACTCGGAAGCAAGAGGGGCCGCGGATTCGCAGGGCTGTAGGAGGCGCATACCTAGAGGAGAAGATCTGCGATTCTGCGAAGCTGAAGAAGAAGAGGCCGATCTGGATGGATGATGGCGTTCTCCTCCGTGCGCTCCGTGGATATTTGGGCTCCTGTGCGTGCTGGGGGATTTTATATAGGGGGCGGTGGGCTCGTGTACGCGCTTCGGTTCGGCAGGCGTTGGCACCGAATCCCGGGCGGGTCCCGCGGCCTGGAGTTATTATTCGTGGGTGGATGGATGGATGGATAGGACTTGACCTCGCTGCGCAGAGTCGATGACAGGTGGGGGCCGAGACTGCTTCGCTCGAGGCGGCCGCGGCCGAAGCGCGTCGTCCGTCGTGGGGGCGAGGATGGAGAGGGAAGGAACCCCACGTCCACGTTGCTTTGCCTCGGGGGATATTTGCGCGTTGAAACGACGAGCAGCCGACGCGTGGCGTGTGTGGGCGCTTTTTCTGGCTGGGCCTGGATTCGGTCCAGCAACGCCCCCAGGCAGACGCGACGGGCTGATGAGTCCAAAAGTGTTGGGCCAGACTTTATCGTAGACACTCTCTTTGCTTGCTCTTGTTTGAGCCTGTGTGTTTGTCTAAAAAAAACTCGTTTGAGCGTGTCACCTACGTTTTTTCAATACAGTAAGACACCTACTTTTTCTTTCAACACGGTATAGACGCAGACGCTCATACGTACACACGTACAATTACCTTTATGAACACACGCGTGCACAACCTATCTCTATGAGCACATCCGTGACTGAGCCGGCACATCATCTTGAGATTGACAAAGTCAACGCAGAAGCCTTTGTAGTTGATAGGAATGTCTTCTCCCACAAAACGCACATCACTGGCCTAAAATAAATTCAGAAAAATGTGAGAATCGGTGTCAAGTTTAGAACTTGAAATTTGGTGGCCTGTTTGGAATCACTCCGCCCCGCTCCACTCCGTGGAGCTGGGCTTGAGCCGCTCTGTGGAAACAAGCTACAGCCTGCTCCACTCCGAGAGCGGAGTCGAGGGAGTAGAGTGGAACCGAACAGGCACTAAGGATGCCACTGTTGTCCTGACTGTTAGCTAGCTGATGTAGTCTCATACTCACACGATCGTGGCTAGCGCACGATCCCATTCACGTCGCGCCTGTAACTTGGGCTCCGCGCACCTCCTGTACCTTGCCCATATATACAGCGAGTCATTCATCGGCTGCACTCAAGGTGCATTGCCCAAATTCTTGCTAGTCTACATGGTATCAGACGCCGGCACGTCCCAGCGCCTGTAACCGCTTTCGCTGCCGTTTCTCTACTCCGGCAGTCATGTTCGTCCCACCGCCTCCCCCACCTCCTCCTCACCCAGGTCGGGGCCTAACCAGCGCCCTAGAGGACGCCGCCTTTGACACCCCGCGCTCCTCTGCATCTTCCCTCCTGACCCCCTCTGCGCTAGGACTTGGCGCCCAACTCAGTGCTCTGTTCGCCGGCGCGCCGCCCGCGATGGCCTCTACCCTACCCACCTCGCCACTCGCCTCCATCTTCATCAACCACCACGTCCCACTGATCCTGACGCTGCAGCCGCCCAATTTCTCTCAATGGCGCACCCTCTTTGAGGTGATGTTCCAGAAGAGCGGCGTCGTTGATCATCTCGTCGGCGCTCCGCGTCCCCACGATCCAGCGTGGCTCCAGGACGATGCTCACATCATCTCCTGGCTCTACGCGCGCGTGAGTCCGGATATCTTCGGCCTCATCCACCAACGCCATGCGACGGCGGCCCAGGTGTGGGCCTCCATCACCTCCATGTTCATGGAGAACCAGGAGCACCAAGCGGTGTTTCTGGCGACGGACTTCCGCCGTATTGAGCAGGGGTCCTCCTCCGTCATCGCCTACTTCGGCCGCCTGAAGGAATGCGCCGATCGGCTTGCTGATCTTGGCGAACCCGTGACGGACCGTGAGCAGGTCCTCAACATGTTCCGAGGTTTGCACCCACGGCTGCGCTACGCCATTCCCATACTCACCATGCAAACCCCCTTCCCCACCTTCCTGCGTTGCCGTGCCTTCCTCCTTGAAGAAAGCAGGCAGGGCTCTGACTCCGCGTCGGA